TTTCTTGATGAGTCTGGCTAATGGTTTATCAATTTTGTTAATCTTCTCAAAGAACCAGCTTTTAGTTTTATTGATCTTTGCTATTGTTTCCTTCATTTCTTTTTCATTTATTTCTGATCTGATTTTTATGATTTCTTTCCTTCTGCTAACTCTGGGGTTTTTTTGTTCTTCTTTCTCTAATTGCTTGAGGTGCAAGGTTAGGTTGTTTATTCGAGATGTTTCCTGCTTCTTAAGGTGGGCTTGTATTGCTATAAACTTCCCTCTTAGAACTGCTTTTGCTGCATCCCATAGGTTTTGGGTCGTTGTATCTCCATTGTCATTTGTTTCTAGGTATTTTTTAATTTCCTCTTTGATTTCTTCAGTGATCATGGTTGTTAGTATTTGCCTTATGTATTGAGGTGCTCCTATGTTGGGGGCATAAGTATTTACAATTGTTATATCTTCTTCTTGGATCGATCCCTTAATCATTATGTAGTGTCCTTCTTTGTCTCTTCTGATAGTCCTTATTTTAAAGTCTATTTTGTCTGATATGAGAATTGCTACTCCAGCTTTCTTTTGGTTTCCATTTGCATGGAATATCTTTTTCCATCCCCTTACTTTCAGTCTGTATGTGTCTCTAGGTCTGAAGTGGGTCTCTTGTAGACAGCATATATATGGGTCTTGTTTTTGTATCCATTCAGCCAATCTGTGTCTTTTGGTGGGAGCATTTAGTCCATTTACATTTAAGGTAATTATCGATATGTATGTTCCTATTCCCATTTTCTAAATTGTTTTGGGTTCGTTATTATAGGACTTTTCCTTCTCTTGTGTTTTTGTCTAGAGCAGTTCCTTTAGCATTTGTTGTAAAGCTGGTTTGGTGGTGCTGAACTCTCTCAGCTTTTGCTTGTCTGTAAAGGTTTTAATTTCTCCATCAAATCTGAATGAGATCCTTGCTGGGTAGAGTAATCTTGGTTGCAGGTTTTTCTCCTTCATCACTTTCAGTATGTCCTGCCACTCCCTTCTGGCTTGTAGAGTTTCTGCTGAGAGATCAGCTGTTAACCTTATGGGGATTCCCTTGTGTGTTATTTGTTGTTTTTCCCTTGCTGCTTTTAATATGCTTTCTTTGTATTTAGTTTTTGACAGTTTGATTAATATGTGTCTTGGCGTATTTCTCCTTGAATTTATCCTGTATGGGACTCTCTGTGCTTCCTGGACTTGATTAACGATTTCCTTTCCCATATTAGGGAAGTTTTCAACTATAATCTCTTCAAATATTTTCTCAGTCCCTTTCTTTTTCTCTTCTTCTTCTGGAACCCCTATAATTCGAATGTTGGTGCGTTTAATGTTGTCCCAGAGGTCTCTGAGACTGTCCTCAGTTCTTTTCATTCTTTTTTCTTTATTCTGCTCTGCAGTAGTTATTTCCACTATTTTATCTTCCAGGTCACTTATCCGTTCTTCTGCCTCATTTATTCTGCTATTGATCCCATCTAGAGTATTTTTCATTTCATTTATTGTGTTGTTCATCATTGTCTGTTTCATCTTTATTTCTTCTAGGTCCTTGTTAACTGCTTCTTGCATTTTGTCCATTCTATTTCCAAGATTTTGGATCATCTTTACTATCATTATTCTGAACTCTTTTTCAGGTAGACTGCCTATTTCCTCTTCATTTGTTAGGTCTGGTGGGTTTTTATCCTGCTCCTTCATCTGCTGTGTGTTTTTCTGTCTTCTCATTTTGCTTATCTTACTGTGATTGGGTTCACCTTTTTGCAGGCTGCAAGTTCGTAGCTCCCGTTGTTTTTGATGTCTGTCTCCAGTGGCTAAGGTTGGTTCAGTGTGTTGTGTAGGCTTCCTGGTGGAGGGGACTAGTGGCTGTGTTGTGGTGTATGAGGCTAGATCTTGTCTCTCTAGTGGGCAGGTCCACGTCTGGTGGTGTGTTTTGGGGTGTCTGTGGACTTATTATGATTTTAGGCAGCCTCTCTGCTAGTGGGTGGGGTTGTGTTCCTGTTTTGCTATATGGTTGGCATAGGTTGTCCAGCACTGTAGCTTGCTGGTCGTTGAGTGAAGCTGGGTGCTGGTGTTGAGATGGAGATCTCTGGGAGATTTTCGCCGTTTGATATTATGTGGGGCTGGGAGGTCTCTTCTTGACGAGTGTTCTGAAGTTGGCTCTCCCACCTCAGAGGCAGAGTCCTGACTCCTGGCTGGAGCAGCAAGAGCCTTTCATCCACTCGGCTCAGAATAAAAGGGAGAGAAAGTAGAGAGAATTAGTATAGAGAGAATTAGTAGAAGTAGGAGGAAATAGGAAAGAAAGCAAGAAAGAAAGGAGGGAAGGAAAGAAGGAGGGAAGGAAGAAAGAAAGAAAGAAGAAAGGAAGAAGGCAAGAAGGAAAGAAGCGAAGGAGGGAGGGAGGAGGGAAGGAAGGAAGGAATGAGGGAAGGAAGGAAAAAATACAGAAAGAAAGAAGATATAGTAAAATAAAATAAAGTATAATAAAGTTATTGAATTAAAAATAATTATTTAGAGAAAAAAAAACGGGACGGAAAGGACCTTAGGACAAATGGTGGAAGCAAAGTTATAGAGACAAAATCTTACATAGAAGCATACACATATACCCTCACAAAAAGAGGTAAAGGGGAAAAAAATCATAAAACTTGCTCTCCAAGTCCACCTCCTCAATTTGGGATGATTTGTTGTCTAAAAGAGGGAAGGAAGGAAGGAACGATAGAAAGAAGGTAAAGTATAATAGAGTTCTTTAAATTAAAATTAATTATTAAGAAAAAAATTAAAAACAACAACAACAACAAAAACAATGGACGGATAGAACGCTAGGACAAATGGTGGAAGCAAACCTATACAGACAAGATCTCACACAGAAGCATACACATACACATTCACAAAAAGAGGAAAAGGGGAAAAAATCATAGATCTTGCTCTAGAAGTCCGCCTCCTCAATTTGGGATGATTCGCTGTCTATTCATGTATTCCACAGAGGCAGGGTACATCAAATTGATTGTGTAGCTTTAATCCGCTGTTTCTGAGGCTGCTGGGAGAGATTTCCCTTTTTCTTCTTTGTTCTCACAGCTCACAGGGGCTCAGCTTTCGATTTGGCCCTGCCTCTGCGTGTAGGTCGCTGGAGGGCGTCTGTTTTTTGCTCAGACAGGACGGGGTTAAAGGAGCTGCTGACTCGGGGGCTCTGGCGCACTCAGGCCGGGGGGAGGGAGGGGCACAGAGTGTGGGGCGGGCCTGCGGCGGCAGAAGTCGACGTGACGTTGCACCAGCCTGAGGCCCGCTGTGTTCTCCCTGAGAAGTTGTCCCTGGATCCCGGGAACCTGGCAGTGGCAGGCTGCACAGGCTCCCCGTAAGAGGGGTGTGGATAGTGACCGTGCTCGCACACAGGCCCCTTGGTGGCGGCAGCAGCAGCCTTAGCGTCTCCCGCGCGTCTCTGGTTTCCGAGCTTTTAGCCGCGGCTCGCGGCAGTCTCTGGAGTCCGCGCTTTTAGCCGCGGCTCACCCCCGTCTCTGAGGTTCGTGTGTCTAGCCGTGGCTTGTGCCCGTTTCTGGGGTCTGCGCTTTTAGCCGCGGCTCTCCCCTCTCCTTGCACACCATGAAACAATGGTCTCTTGCCTCTTAGGCAGTTCCAGACCTTTTCCCAGACTCCCTCCCCGCTAGCTGTGGCTCAGTAGCCCCCTTCAGGCTGTGTTCACATAGCCAACCCCACTCCTCTCCCTGGGCCCGGCGGGTGAGCACACAAGCCTCTCGGGCTGGTGAGTGCCGGTCGGCACCGATCCTCTGTGCGGGAATCTCTCCGCTTTGCCTTCCGCACCCCTGTTGCTGTGCTGTCCTCCGCGGCTCCGAAGCTCTCCGCTCCGCCTCCCACAATCTCTGCCCGCGAAGGGGCTTCCTAGTGTGTGGAGACCTTTCCTCCTTCACAGCTCCCTCCCACTGGTGCAGGTGCCGTCCCTATTCTTTTGTCTCTGTTTTTAATTAATTTTTTCTTTTGCCCTACCCAGGTATGTGGGGAGTTTCTTGCCTTTTGGGAGGTCTGATGTCTTCCTCCAGCATTCAGTAGGTGTTCTGTAGGAGCTGTTCCACATGTAGATGTATTTCTGGTGTATTTGTGGGGAGGAAGGTGATCTCTGCGTCTTACTCCTCCGCCATCTTTCCACCGCCCCTCCTTAAGATTATCTTTCAAATTTATATTAAGTAAAATCGAATCCATTGGGAAAAAAAGGCAAATTAATCATTTATAAAAGATTTTATAAAAATTTAAATGGTTCTTAGAAGTAAACAAAAAACTTAGCAGTAGCTGGGAAATTAATTGCAAGATTTTATTTTAATGATTAAGTTTATTGAGAGGTGAAAAATAAATGAGGTTAAAATAATAAAATAAATTATCAATTTTATCATGAGGTAAAAATAAATGGACACAGTCACTTTGAAAATTGTTAGGGTGTATTACTACTTTGTAATACACAGAGCTATCAATATATTGGTAAAGACAGCTCTTTCTATTATCATTTATGTCTTGGCAACAAAGAATCTGATACACAGTAATTCATAACATCAAGTACTTTAGCGTGTATGTTCATCTGCAAGTAATGGAAAAATCAACTGAAACTATAATGGTTATGGATGTCAAAATTAATGAGAACAGAAATGCTTTATCTATCAGTTTTGGTAATTAAACCATGAAGACAAGTGGATGTGGATTCTCATATATTCTTGTTAGTAGAGGCTTATCCATACTTTTTATTGCTATATCAACAATTTCTGACCTACCTCTTCCCAAGTTCTTTTGTGGGAAAAGATAACATGACTTTGTTAAAAAAAAATATGGCAAGAACTAAATCAAAACCTTAGTAGGAAAGTAATAATGGAACAAAAATCTTAGGGACTCTTTGCAGAAAGTCACTGAATTCATGATTCTCTTTTCTATAGTAGGAATTGACTGAACAGTTAAATCACCCACTGGTATTAAAGGCCAAGTAAACTTGAGATGAGACGTTCACTTTATATTTTTCTCAGGTATTACTAGAACTCCAGTGCCTATCACCTCCACAGCTGGAAGTGTGGGCACCACAGGAGCAGTGGGCCCCACCTTCACCAGTCCTGGGCTCATATCAGGTAAATTAAGTTCAGAACAAATATACCAGCCACCCCTAAGCAGCTGGTTTCAGGCAATGCTGCTCAGTGCAATATTTTACAAAATAAATGTATCTGACTTATGTATAATCAGATTTGGATGTTCTTTATATGTAATTAAAATGTAGACTCTGTAGTTTTTGCACAAGTTATTTTATTATTGAATATCATGTTATAATCATATACACCCATTACCTTGAGAGTTGACAGCACACACTTTTTTAACAGAAAAAAACTTTGTTTTTTCTTTACCTTCATCAGGGTCAACTGGAGGATCAGTAAGTGCAACCACAGGCACTGAAGATGGAAGCACAAGTGACGTAGTTTTCAGAGTAGGTGAGACAAAGAAATGAGTCCATAGCTTCTTTTCAAAAGCAGTCCTCCTTTTCAAGTCAAGAACAACTGTACTCTGAGTTCATTAGATAACAGGGGTCTGGTGTCAGCACTATGTTATCTGGATGACTTTGGGAAAAATTCAAAAGTTAACATTTATATGTTAACAAAATATTAGTGACATTTCTATGGCACACTGAAATTTCTGAATTATGCTGAAATATGTGTCTTTTTTCCCAGGTGGAAGAAAATAATAAAAGTTCTCAAAACTGGCAGAGGCAGGATAAGAACCCAGACCCTTAGCCTCCTCTGTCATAGCTCCACAATTCTGTGATCTGTGTCTAAGAGAAAACATCCAAGAGAAGTCAGTGAGAGTATGCTTGCCCTTGTGAATCACTGACTAAATTTCAACTACTGTTGGTTTCATGAATAAAATATTATTGACTTCTTTAAGAGTAGATGATTTTGATTAAAAACAAACAAGCCTGAGTTCACCCTGTCCCTTATGCTGCAAGTTAGTGACTTTAAATATTGAATAACTCTTAACTTTCCTCTGTGCATCACATTTGCCTCTGCTTTTGCTCAGGTGTTAAACATTTTCCACCTAGTCTTTACATGCACCCACTTCGCTCACTTTCCTCTGATACAGTGATGCTCAAAGTGCAGTTCCCAGACCAACAGCATCCACAGTTCCTGCGAACTTTTTAGAAACACAGAATTTTGGGGCCTACCTGCCTAGAATCAGAAGCCCTTAGTGTGGAGCCAGGCAAAGAGTGTATTAACAAGCCCTTTAGACAATGGATGCTTGTCAATGTTGAGAACTTTCCCACCCTTCCCCACTTCCCTCCCAATTTACACTTTAGTTGATACCACACCAGAATGAACTTACAAAAACTCAACTGTCATCATACCACTCCACTACTTAAAATCTTTCAACTTTTCAGATAGCTTTTAGGATAAATCAAAACTCCTTTATATACCATTAAAAGCCATTTCTATAGTGTTTGCATGGAATTTCTCTTTATGCATTTATTAACTAATCCATGGCCTGACTTTATTTTTCCTACATTTATTTTCCCTTAGTAAATTTCTCAATTTATGTCAAAAACTTTTTGGAATAAGATATTGTTTGCATAAAAAATAATGTGTTGAAAGATATAAGCTACAGTAGCACAAATTAAGAAACTGTTTAATTCCAACTAGATCAGTGAATTGACTGAAATTTGAGGGTGATGACTATTTAGTATATATTTTCTAGAATTTGAATGGGAATTATTTGGGTGATAATGACAAGTCAGTCCAGGGCTTCTCAGAGTTTGCTCTGCCAATGAGTGCAATTCAGAACTGTTTGTTACTGGTCCATGAAGTGATAAGAACAGAAACAGAAAACAAATACTTAGAAACATGGCAATTTGACACAGCAATTTTTATATTTGTTGAATAAAAGCTTATGTTGTGTATGGATTTATTTTTTAAAATTTTATTTCTCTCCTTTCATAGCATTTTTCCAAAGCATCAATATGGAAGACTGAAAATTTTACAGAATTGATCTTTTACCACAGATCTTCTGAGAAGCACGTGTTAGAGTATGAACTTAGGTCTAGATTGCCTGGGTGACCTGGAGCAAGTCACTTAACCATGTCTGTTAAGTGAGAATAGTAATATTACCTGCCTCAGAGGATTTTTATAGGATTACATGAGTTGATTTATGTCTAGGTTATTTTTCAAACTGCTATTCTTTATGAACAGGAACAGGGGTCCTACTGCACCAACAACAGGAGGTGAGGAAGACGGCACACCCAGCAAACCAAGCACAGGAGCAATAAGCCCAGGGAAATTAGGCAGTTCAGGATGTGCTCATTAACCCCTGTTAAATGGCACTGAACATATTGCAGGCTGAACTAAAGATTAAGCTCTATGTGGTATAAGACCATCTAGTCACAGAAATCATAGGGATCATTTAAAGTTGTCTTTTATGTGAGAAACCTCAATTCTGTCACATTAGAGAAGAGTGGTATGTAGAATCCGGCAACAGTGGAAGTAATACTCATTCCCTGCTGTTGTGTCAGGGACCCCAGGAGTATCAGAGGGTTTCACAACCACTCATGGAAGCAAGAGCACAAGTGGAGACTCACCTACGCCAGGCACAACCCCGGGAGGCCAAGCAGGTATTGAAATGGGAAGTCTGAGGCATCTTCTTACTGACCTTAGGGAAGTAGCCAGCACTTCTGAGTTATTAGTTTCTAGTAAATGCACATATTCGTGACCTCACTATCCCTGCATTTATGGGATTAACGGCAGTGTTTCTCTAACATTAGCTCAGAGGTGATTTATAGCAAAGCGTGTTATGTTTCAGATTCTAAGACTCCTGCCTTTGGACTTCTGAGGCTGTGAATGTGAAGTGGGGCTAAAGTCATGGTTTGCAACCTTGGCTACAAATAAGAATTGACTAGAAAAATTTTTGAAAATACATACTGAAGAGGCTTTTACAGAGTAATTGAACCAGAACTCCTGGAGGAAAGACCCAGACATAAGTAATTTTTAAAAGCCTTACAGTTGGTTCCAATGTATAGGCTGGAGCTGAGAATCACTGGGCTAGTGTATCTGTATATTTAATAAGCAACCCAGATGGTTCTTATGATCATTTTTTGGAAAGAGT